CACATCAAACGGTAGTCTCTGTTAAGATATCAGTCAACCAATAACGCCTCTGACGACGCCAAACAACCATACAGTAATGCCATCTCACTCAAGTATTCCATTGTTGAGTATTTTCAGATGGCTAGACCACAACTCACGTGATCTGCCAAACAGCTGGATGAGTATTGCATCCTACTCCTAACACTGTATTTCCTTAAAGCAGGTACTGGATATAAGCTGTGGTATGGAAGGACTAGTCCACAGCCTTCCCTTATAACAACTACTCGGTAAAAGATTTGCGGTGTGAAAGGACCAGTTCTCTAATCCCTGAGGTAACCAATTTTTCGCATATCCTAGACACAGTTACCCTTTACGAAGAACAGGGTTGTCGCATGATCTGATCGATTTTGTCGTTGTTTCATCTGAAATTCGAATCCGCGACTGATGTGTTAAACCACATCTTGTGGAATGATGACTAAAAATCTGAAATTCTAGCCCAACATCCACCGATAACAACTTCTTATCTGGGCTTTCAGACAGTTTTAGGTTGGCCCTTGGAATGTGGATTGCTGGCAGGTATCCAAACAGACCACCAACCGTATGCGGTCTTTTTTCGAGCCCGCGCAAGTAGAGGGTATCAAGATTGTAGATCTAGTGGTAAAAACTCTCACGTCAAAACGTCACAGTGATTTCCTTGAGAGATAGTGAGACATCCTGAGTATGTATCTGCCCACCGCAATATTGTTCCAAAATGATAACTCCCTTGAAGTTGTTTTTCACAGATTATTGAAAAATTCATACCTCCACTTTTGTTCACCAAAATGCCAGGCTTTGTATGAATTACCAGATGGCATATTTCGGTTTGATCACCTGTCTATTACTGAGCTTTCAGGAGTGCCTTCTGCAGCCTGAATTTGCCGTTAAACTGAACAGCGGTGGCGACTCGACGCTGACTGTTTTTAGCTTTTGTTACTTTTTTTCATTCCAGGCCCGTTCATCAGAAAAAACGGAACCATACCTCCGACTGATGCAACTGCGGGGCCACACATGTGAGAGGGACCACACATGTGAAGTGTACTTTCTGCCTTCGCTTCAAGAAAAAGGGCAACGTAAACACTACCAAAACAAAAGGGTTCAAGGTCATTTACGGTGAAATCTCTTCGTTTTCTCTGAAAATCGCTACATAATTTGCTAGCGTCCGTGAAGCAGTGATTTTCTGACGGTTGTATGAATGAGGCCACTCTTCATCAGGATGGTGACCTCTGGACTGAAAACATGAAAAAAAAACAGCTAGTTGAAATGTACACAGAGCAATCGTCCCCCGCTACCTGTTTTGAGGACTATCCTTCCTAGAAGGGAGCATGATTATAACTTCAGGTCAGCTGCCCACTTGCGGCTGAATGCGCCATCTCGATAAACCGTTACCATGGTTTTACTTATCCAAGTTGATAACATAGCGAAAATTCCCATAGCTGGTTTATAGGAAAAAGACCAATGCCTCACACAAACAGTTATCCACCCTTATCGGTCTTACCCGGTGTATGTTATTAGATTATTCAGGATCAAACTAAATGTTCCAACAGGTTGAACAAGCGTGAATGAATCAATCTATCTGTGATTAGCCGATCGATCGATGGAGCCTGGAAATCAGTGTTTCTCTAATCAAGCATAACTCACTAGCGGTTATGACTTTGTAAGTTCTCCTCAAATAGCTCGCTTACCAAACAAGCATACACTGATGGATCAGTTTGGGGAAATTCGTCTGTCTCAGGAGGAATTAATGAAAGTGTGACTACCAACCAACCAATCAAGTAGGCATTTGCAATTGATCCTTCGGCCAGGTCAGGTGGCGAAGCTAGAAGGTTGACCAGTTCATTGGAAGGTTTTGGTGACCACGGGTACTTTTATTGAATGGTTTTAGAAGACAGGATATTCTGGCTGACTTTTCGGGTGAAAATGTGGAACCCTCCACTACGAATGACCAACAGCAATCATTGTACGGAACAGAGTGCCACATGAGATCAACAGTTACACAGTAGTTTCTCAAAATGCCCTTGTAAACTGGCTCTCCATTACTTTACAAATTCTTATTGGTACAACCAATAATCCACCGCTACGCACGACAACCGCTTGTACTGATGATGTCACCTCGATTGGTGATGAAACGTTTGCAACCAAATTAACAAGCTAACGACCATCTTATTGGTATTCATGCAGCATCTGGTTTTAACCGCTTGTTTCTGGGGGTGTCCGCAGTCCCATGTAAATGAATCCATACCTGCGATTAGGAAAACACCGAGGAGGTCACAGATGGGGATTATGTTCCATATGGTCACCGAAAACCGAACATAAATTAGCTGGAAGAACTGTGCTCTCAGTCAGCCAATCAGTATACCCTTTGGGTTGCGATAAACAATAGCGGAAGACTTGAAAAATCTTCAACGTAGGCGTAGAACGCAAATGAAAAGGCAGTCGCAGGCTCGAGTTCAGTCAATGGACTCCATCTTTTCAGCTGCACTATATGTGCCAGAGAGAGCATGAAGCGTGGACTTCCAAATTCAACAGTGTCAGAACTTCTGGTACGAAACATCTATTGCTTTAACGACTGGTTCCAATGGGCGACACTGAATTCGAATTTTGCACACACGACAGAGTTTCCTACGAAAAGGAAACAAAGACTTCCATTCAAACACCACTTATTCCCCGTCAGTGCCCTAGCATGATTATACCGTTTTTGTACCTTGCAGGTAGAAATCAACGAGCTACTCCAAACACGTGGGATCTAATCTAAAAGAGAACTATGCGGTGATATGGTGTAAAGGGGAAAAGAGTACACACCAGGGTACTCACACCTTAGTCTTCGTAGCGTGCTCTGAGTAGCTACGCAATCTCGGCAGGTTATACTCCCAGTATCAGTTGCATTGAAGTTGCTACTTTTCAGGAGCATCCAGGAGGCATTCGCAACTAAAAAAGGCTTTCTCAAATCAGCTGTGATAAACCAGTGATTATGTTAAGTAAAGTTCATTTTAAAACGTCACTTTCATCCTGTTATTCATTACATAATGTCCAAATAATTGCCTCGGAAGCCACCGAATTTGAGTTGAATGTGTCATGGACAAGCTATGTGCTCTATGAGTGTTTGTCGGATATCGTTCAAAAAGGCTGTGTTGACTGGAATAGTTCACCTAACCAGTCTCAGTGTCGCCACCCACCCTGGTGAATCCGCTCTTCTGAATGGCAGGTTTGCTTCGTGTGAGTTTAAGGCGCGAAATTGCGCAACAGTTTGACCCCTCTAGAGCTGCCTTCTGATTGGTTGGCAGGGCGGGCAATACACACAATGAGAGATGAATTCCCATGTTCACTTAAGCTTCTCACAAGTTAGGAGATTGGGAAGCTGTCTGGGGGGGGGGGGCGTAAGCGACTGAATACAATACTGGTCACATTAGCAGAATCGTGATTGTCCGCATGCAAGTGGGGGTCATTTTAGCAGCTATAAATTGGTGTCCGTAACGTCCTATGTTACCCCCTCCATAAAAAAGCCGAAGTCAATTTGAGCGTAACTGAGGAACGAAGAAAAATGTCCATTTCTTTATGGTATTCAACACCAAAACGTGAACAGCCAGAGCCAAAATACTCTTCAGAAGGCGCAACTTCGAGTGAGTAACTTGTACTTTGATCAACTAGTTACTCAGTCCTGTTGTCTCATCGTTTTTGCATAGGCTATAAGGTCGAAAATGATGCCTATGTTTCTCTATGAAACTACTTCATCATTTGTACTTTACGATTCTCAGTTTAAGCTGTCTGGTCAGTCGTCAAATCTGAACTGAAATGTTCTAATAGAACTGTCTGAGTACAAGAGATACTGGTTGCTAGTTAATTCGCAATATAGGTTTAAGCTTGATAACTAAAAGTATCGCATTAACGCAAACTAATGAGGCTGTAACTAACACGATATTATTTATTACCTAACTATCAGTGAACCACAGAAGACTAACTTTCCGTGATCAGAGCTCAGTGACAATGAATCTTGTAGGCATATGGGTAACGTACGTTCAGTTCCGTTTCTCAGCTATAGAAATTTCAACTTCGTTTTTCTTGCATTTTGTTCACCGATTATATGGAGGTTCTAAAAGGATATTCACACCTTCCTTGATATTTTGATGTTTTTTGGTTTGTCAACTATGTTCAGGAGATGACGGTCAAGCATAAAACTTGACCAAGACTCGACCACGCTAAGTGAGTAACAATCAGTGAGTCAGAAAGTTTACACATGTAAACGATCGATAATCGTGTGCGCGTCACTTTCTGCATTCAAGCGAGGCTTGAGTAATGTTCAAAGTAATATGTTGGGTCCGTTTGCGTGTAACCTAATTCTGACAACCCATCACAACAAGTGCTTCACCATTCCCGTTTTTTCCTGAATTTTGTGCGTTCACACAAGCAATTTTGACAGATTTTTGTCCGGGTTTACGAGAACAAATTCCAGGTAAATTTTACCTTTCTGGATTGCACCGATTGTCTTATATCCGCATTAAACCATGACTCGTTCTGCGGCTGGAACTAGATTCTATGCAAAATAAGATCTAGAGGTCCATTTTTTTTGCTTTGACGCAAGTCACCTCTAATGATGTAGCCGACTGGAACTGTTAGCTTTTTTCGAAGGATTTTTCCAAGTCTGTACCTTCTCAAAGTCGTTGATTAGGGCGACGTTTTTAGTCTTTACAAAACCAGGTGTTCCAGTTACTCGTCATTAGATGAGTTCAGCTTCATTGGTGGTTCTTAGTGACTTGCGTATTCGGTCTTCAAAACGGGTTAGGTCGATGTGCAGAACAACGTACCACGCTTATCATAAGAGCATCTGTTGGTAACGGCTATACAGCGCGGACATGTCTATCGAATTCGGCCAGGAGGTTCACCAAGTCGTTACATGCATGACACATTTTGTGACAGAAATTTAGCACCTGAAAATTGTCAGTTTTTCTTATACAGTAACACAGCACCTAGCAGGCCTTCGTCTACTTATGATTCCAGTCTATCCGGTTGCGCAGCCACTGGTCGAAGTTCATTGTTCATCACACAGAACCGTTCTGACTTGGGATGGACTCTGGACTGCATCAACCGCATCTTCCAACCCGAGAGATGCTGGGTTCCTAAATTCGAAAACTCGTGTGTCCAACAACCTCTCCAAGTGGACCGACAGTGGTTACAATAGCTTTGGTACTCCTGGACAGTGCCAGACGAAGCAACGATCCAACTCCAGCTCGGGACGCCCCGATTTCTCCATCGAAAGCCTTTTGGCAGATGACTGTCCCGTGGAGAACGAGCGACTGTATACAAAACCTCTGTTCCAACTGCAGAACATCGTTGGCGTGCAATCGCCCTTCACCACCCAAACACAAGATATCCCGATAGATTTGTCGATGCAAACAAGTGGCTTGTGGCACCGAGTGAAACGGTCTGAGGACAAATGCGGGATTCCCAACTTTTCGTGCCGATACTGTGGAAAACCGTACAACTCTCGATCGTCCAGCAGGTCTGTTAATCTGTTGTGTGTGTTTGAGCGGAAACAGTGTATACCTTCAGCCATCTTATCTCAACTAGATCCATCCTTAAAGTCAAAACCAGGTGTATAGTCAACCTCCATCAGGTGAACTACCACGGCTCAACTCGTACTGCTCTGATGGATAACCGTTGATATTTAATGAGTGATGCTTGATAGGAGTTGGTAGAGTGACGTTAATGGGAATAGTCAAGACCGTTATATCTCTAATCCGGAAACATTGATTGGAAGGTATAAAACTTCGAAAATTATCAGAAAGGCACTAAAATTCAGCCTAACAGCAAATGAACGTTTGACGACCCCACGAAGCCCATCTCTGAAGCTTTACTGACACAAAGAGGGTTGTCTATTCATCCAGTGATCAAGTGAGCTTAACTCAAAATGAAATACCCCCGAGATCACCTACGTCTTTTTTATGGAGTGGAAGGTATACAAAAATATCATCTGACAGTTCTACAGCTCAAAATGCGTCTTCATCCAGCGAACGACGACGCTACTTGGCTTGAAATCTAAGATAATTTAGAAGATAGTTTTCGAGAAATACATTCCTTTGTAAATCAAGTTGGTTTTCACGAGAGACTTAACTGAATCTCTCGTTTATGATATTCTACAACTGAATGTGCTACACACAGGCCGACTCATGTTTTAGGGACTGTGCCTACCTGATGAGCCCCAAGAAGCGAGAAACCGGTCATGGGCCGTCGAAGAGTTTTCAGTAACCTTGTGAGTAGTTCCCCTCATGAAAACAGACGATAGTTTCTTCCAAAGCACAGTACCTCAAAGAAATTGTCACGCTGGTGGTTTCTTGTATGCGTAAAAACTGAATTCCTCATGTAACCACTTGCCTGGTACGGTGAAAACCGATAAGAAAGCCATCGTGTAGATATTAGGCTTCCTTATGGTTTCTTCACTCAAAGCGTTAGTGAAGTACAGCTTTGGTTTACTGGTCGTCTATTTCGGTATTCTTACCAACAGTTCATTCAGGTCATTTGGCAGACACATCTCTCCCTATCCAGTGAGGATGACCATGCATAGAATGTCTCTTATCACTCATGACGAGGTGCCCAGTCCTGTCTAAACAGCCCCCATGTGTACTGTCCTGTTGGAGCGGAGACGTAAAGCCTTTTCGCCAACTCTCTTATCTTTTCCCCAATTGTACAGATTGCACGAAGCGACTCACACCCTCCCTTACCAGTGTGCGGATTGCGGAAAGCGTTTTTCCAGACCCTGGTTACGTGAAATACACCGACGGACGCATACCGGAGAAAAACCGTACCAATGTGCCTACTGTGAACGCCGATTTGCTGATCGTTCAAACATGCGAGCACATCAACGAGTACACGAACACACGGTTGAGAAAATCTAATCTAGCGATCCACCGCAAGTTGGCAGTTTGTGTTTTAGATGTGTTAAGTTAGGTTTTAGTGTCGCCATTTCGTACGGATTTCTTTTGTCAGAACAAAAGTAGTTACAGTTATCTGAACATATTTAGGTTGCATTCATGTGTGGTTTTAGTATATTTGAGTTTCAGCTAATTCAACGGCCCCCCGGGAAGCCAGGACACAACTGAACACCGAGTGGATGTCGGACGACAGTGGATGGTCGAGCCTTGGAGATACTGGACAATGATCACAGGCGCTGGGCGAGCTCCTGACGAAACCAGCAGCGAGACTCTGGATTGAGAACGACCAACGGCCCTTTTTAGGGCCATACATTTTGATTTTTGTTCACGTTGCAATCAAGACAGGATGGGTTGAAGCTTAAATCTAATCCCCGTGATAGCACATCCCTTGGGACTTCTGACGCGAGGACTCTTCAAAGGAGAACTTACTAGTTGTCTGAGCCTATTGAGAACGTCGGATCTTCCAAACCAAGTGCACTAATATAGGTTTACCGTATGGTTTTAGTAGATAAGCTTCGCAACTTGAAACAATTCCTGATTCTCCGAGGGGTGACTTGAGAACAGGAAGAAACTGATGGGTTTAGGGAAGCCTCATCTNTCATCTAAAGCAACACCGAGGCTGAATTTAGTGAAAATCAAATGTTGTATGACAAGTCGATGTGAAGTTTGTGAAAAAGTCGATCAGATTAAGAAACAGAAGCTAGTCACTGAAATACACTTATTTGCTGACAAAGCCTAGAAACATCATAAATGAGAGATTCCACTGGGTTCCAGGTGAGTCTCTCGCAAGACCAAATTTGTTTGCGAATGATTGTGCTTCCGTAATTTCGTGCAATTTGGTTTTAAGGCTGACAAAAACTCGGGGAATGCGCCTACCAGACGAGCAACAAGAAGGGCGAAACTGGTCGTGGGCTGCCGAAGAATTTTCAGCAACCTTATTAGTAGTAGTATTAGTAGTAGTGTAGAAGCTATTTACGCTCAGCGTTCGGCCCGACGGTAGGTCAGACGTCGACCGAGAGAGTGATCTCAGTATCTGGACAAGCTAACTGAGATTGAATGAATATAAGTGTGGAAACGAAAGCTGTTGTTTATAGTTTTAGTTAACGATGAATAGTTTCAACAAACATTCCGTTGGCTCAGTTCTCTTATTCGTATACCTGGCCAAATCAGTGGGAAACGCATGAGTTTGACTCTCACCTTGGCTAATCAAAAGCACATGTTCTTGGTTGTACGGGGTCCCAAACTCCGGTCACTTGGTATTCATCGAGCACATGTTTGAACAAACGTGTTTTAGCCGGCCATCTCAAATAGCCACCTGTAAAGTTTTTTCCAGCATGTAGTGAGGGGCCAAATTGTTCGACCGAATACATAACGGCGAACAGGGTCTGATCGATTTTTCCACATGCACTTTTGAGTTGGCTACAATTTACCACAAGTTTGGCCAGTAAACATCTCAACAAGTACCCTGTTTAACAAGTTGAGCTATTGCTTCGGTATTTTGCTCCTTCTTATATATCTTACAATAAGGTATATCTCCACTCTTCCGAAATTCGAACCAATCACGCAGCGAGTGACGTCTTTTACTCAGACCATTCTATGGGTATACAATCTGTTCAGGGCAAAAGTACGGAAGCAGTATGCACTCGCATAAACGACCACCGAGTAATATTTGCGCGGCTTCAGTTTATACCCAAACTGTGGCAGGAGGAGACAGATTGCGGGCTGTAATCCAAGCAGAGCCGATTATGTTAGTGGGGTGCATCTAACCCCTCTGACTCGCTGGAGCAATTCCTTTCCTGTAGGTCAAATCCGTTAGTTCAAATCCTACTGAAGGTAGCTCGCAGAAATCGGCATAGGTTTCTCGAACGACAGTGAATCTAGTATGATTTTCGTGCGTTGCGAATGGCCTAACAAGAGGGCTACCGTATTCGGCAGTTTACATTAGTGAATCAGCACCGGCAACCCCCTAAGTAAGACCGATCTGTTTATCCTAGTGAGACATCAATATAGGATGTGTCTGTCGGCAACTCATGGGATATACAATCAACCAGGATTCGATCTATTAAATGAACGGAACTACTAGAGAAACTACTTAGTGATCGAGATCTACGGCAGAGTAAACTTCAGTGTAAAACAATCAAATGTCTTTGTTCCTGGTCAGTAGGAAGTGGGTCTATGTGCTACAGGGGAACAACACAATCGTGCGACACGTTCCTTCTGGTCTGAAATTTGCATATTGGGTAGCATTTCTCCGAAATCATAGCTGAGACAGATCTTTCAGGTTGAGTATCGCTCTCACGCGCCTAGAGAACAGTCACGGGACTTCATGCTGTTGAAGTGACGCTCAGGCCCGAATCGTCCTTTTAACTCTGCCCGCAGACGTTCGGTTCGGACAGCGACACATTCTGAGTCGGATTCAAGCGGGATGGTCAGTTAGATTCAGTTTCACGATAACAAAGTACAGGATTGAACCATACGAGATAAAGCGTATCCCGTTTAGGAAGTTTCAACTGTTCATCTACGTATGAAGACCACTTTCATAACAACTACACAGACCAGGGAGAGATAATAAGATAATGAAACCATTCTCCAACTGCAGTTTTAAAGAGAATCGCATGACCGCGATTGTGAACGTTTGTAATCCCACCAGAACCAAGTCAACGTGATTTTATTTGTCTCACTCTCAGCTTGTGTCATGTAGTGACTGTTCTGGCTATTCTCTACATAAAAAATAGAACACACCGGACGCTTATTCGAGCTCATCAGTAGTGTATATCCTCAGCCTTGCCGGGATCTGAACCTCTACCCTCGAGGTGAACGTGAACGTGAACTGTTCCATTCTAGCTGCAGCTCAATGCTCATTTCTAGACAGTTCAAAGTTTTCGAGCTTAACCGGATACCCGCAAGTGCAACCGATTTCTACTTCTTGGATTTAATGGAGAAATTTGAAGAGGAGTTTTCGAAAACTCCTTCCTGTAACTTGAACTGACCTGTGCTAAAAAGCGACCAACTCTGTTCTCGAGAAATACGCTAACTTGCAAATCGATTTGGTTTCCACGAGAGACTCAACTGAATCTCTCGTTTATGATATCTCGAATATTGTGCCAACTGAAACATGAGGTGGCCTGTGTGCAACACATTCAGTTGTAGAATATCATAAACGAGAGATTCAGTTGAGTCTCTCCTGAAAACCAAATTGATTTGCAAATGAGTGTATTTCTCGGAAACAGTCCAATTTGGGTTCAAGTAGAGCATAAGGTTGACGGAAACTCGGGGACTGCCTCTACCTGATGAGCCCGAAGTGGAAGGGCGAAACCGGTCGTGGGCTGTCGAAGAGTTTTCAGCAAACTGGTGAGTAGTTTCCTTCATAAAAAAAACCAACTTTGTTGTTTGACAGAATTCCAGATAGGACAAGGGATTACAGTCCGCTTAAATTTTCAATAAAACTGACTTAGAAAGGATAAATCTACATGCCATATGGACCTTACTACCGGAAGTCATCAATCTGGCTACTACTCAGCACTAGATTATGTGAGTTAAGGTCAACGACACTACTAATTAGCTATCTACAGCTGGATCGGAGGAATTGAGGGGGGTTTGGGGAAGTGCTCACTGATGCCGATTTTAAGCAGGGATCATATAACCAGACAGTGCTACTCGGTATTTTAGAA